GCACACTTCTGCGCCGCATTACGGCTCTGACAAGGTTTTGTTTCGTCGTCCATGCCATAGGTGCAGATTGATGTTTCTGCCAGTCGGTGCCCACTGCCCACACTGCACTTGTACTATCTAAAGAGAGAGAGAGCATCCAGTTCTGTTGACATAAAACTGGACGCGCCGGCGCCACTCTTTCTCAGTCATATAGTGAGGGAAATCCACCTGCGATCCGAGCTGAGAGGTTAGGCTACTCACGGACTCAATATGTGCTCTGCAATGATAACATGATCGATGCCTACATTCCACTCTGATAGCTGTTTCGGGGCAGTTTTTTTAGTTCTCATCTCCATAAACATAAGATGGCGGTGTATCTCTTGATTTGTTGTCGGTCTACCATTACGCTCGTATTTCTTCTTCGCTGTGAATTACAATTTCTATTCATCTGACCGTCAGCAGTCTGGGAAGCGCCACCACAAGAAGTCTGGAGGTACTGCCTCCCCGGTAAGCCAAAGTGGTACACAGCCACAGTGTGGGTATGAATTTAGACCTTTTGAATGTTTAAAAAAATATCGATACTTGGTGCCAGAGTATCGATAATGTCTCGCAGCTGGAAATATTGCGATAAATTGGCACATCGATTTATTGTCCCACCCCTACTAGCTAATGATAAAATCGTTTTATTAGTATGGAAAAATATATATTGTTTCATTAAAGTGATAGTTTGGTTTGTAGAGATCAAAGCTTGATCTTGCTCAGGACTGTTTTGATTATCATAACCCTATTAGGTTTTTTAAGAGAGATTATGTTGTGAATAAAATAGTTTATCCAAAAATAAAAATTCTCATCACTTACCTTTTTGTTTCTTATCCATATGACTTACAAAAGGAGATCTGTCATTCAGTTATTTTCATATAGCTAATTAATTGGTGAATGAGAGTTTCTCTGATTGCAATATCGTCGACTTGATTGCACAGACACTATTTAAGCTGAACTGAGCTGGATGATGACATCACTGAATTCAATGATGAACTGCCTTTAACTGAAAATTGAGTGTTTACTATTGTCACTTTGCATTATTGACACACTATTTTCCTAATTAATGCTGTACAGTTGCTTTGACACAATCTGTATTGTTAAAAGCACTATATAAATAAAGGTGACTTGACTTGGTCCAGCGGGATTTCTTTTGCTGATATTTGTGCAGCCCCCCGGATGATCGTCGCCGTCTACCTTCACCAGGTTTTATAACTTGGATGTCCCTGCCCTGCAGGCACAGATTTTGTCCACTTAATTCTATCTAATCACCTTTGTAAGTCGAGAGGGTTATGTTATGTAGTCCTCAGCCTAAACCCCTTGGGTCTCATTATTGGCTCATGCTTACGGGAGCCCTCAGTACGAGTGCTTTGGGGCTGGGCTCGCAGAGCAGCTTCATTTCTGCACTTGCTTATAGCACAGCGCTATTGGACGTGTTCCCCATAAGCGTGTTAACACAACGGGAGAGACCATTCAAAAGGGAATGCTCCAGTTACTAACATAACAACGGTTCCCTGAGGTAAGGGAATGAGCATTGCGTAGGCTGCCGTGCAATAAGGCTGCCCTCGAATCGATGACTGTTGCTTCAGTCGAAATATTCTGCCGAAATGGCGCTCAGAGCCGACTTATATAAAGGTCGGCTCCTCCTCTTTTGGCGGGTTGACGTGCCAGTGGTTCGTGCAGCCACACGAACGTGAACAAATCAGACTTCAATATCAGAGTAAACAGGAGTTTCCCCATAACCGTGTCAATGCAGTGCTCGTTCCCTTATCTCAGGGAACCGAGGTTACGTTAGTAACCGGAGCGTTTTTATGCATCAAAACAAACCTATTTTTGTATTTCTTTCTTTTTAATTTTTCTAGGAAAAACTCAAATTCTTTAATGAATTAAACTGGAAATCTACTTCAGCAGTGCTGAAACTACTCTTAAAGCTTCAGTGATTCATGCTAGTGCCCATATAACCACTTTCTAATGTTTGTAGTGGTGAATATGGAGGCATTATTATCCTGGAATATGTAATAATTACATATTAAATATGATGCAGCTGATCCAGTAAAATGATCTCATCCTGTAAAATATATATGGGTCTTTCCTAGGGGCAGCCCTGCTATAAATTCCAGTTTTATAAAGTTCTCCACTTTTTTGTTAAAATTAGGTTATGGGGTTGATGATACACTCCTGTTGTTATGAGACTGTGTTATGTGGCATTTGGCCTCTGATGTGTGAATCTATTGCTAGGGTATGATAATATTTGACATCTGACCTCCCTTCCTTGTCACTATTTCTGATTCAGTTTATCTTGACACCCTGCAGAATTTATCAGCATTTTTTACTGGTGTAGTGACTATTTGGCTTGCTTTATACAGTAGTTGTGGTTTACATATTGTTTATGTATATTTCTGTTGTTTTGTCTGCTCTGTAGCTCATCCAGAGAAACTTAATTCCGATCTCAGGACCTGACCCGAGCATGACTGCTGACAGTCTAACTAACAGTTTACTAAGATTAGTAATATTAGCGTTTTGCAATATTGCTTAAAAACAGTTTTGAGTTGAGGGCAGAGCTCTGAATATGTATAATGATTTTATTTAATTTTTTTCCTGGTTTAAGTCAGTCACTAGCTTCCTTCATGCAGTTTATTGTCTGTGGTATCAGCCCTCAGATATACAGGTGCATCTCAATAAATTAGAATGTCGTGGAAAAGTTCATTTATTTCAGTAATTCAACTCAAATTGTGAAACTTGTGTATTAAATAAATTCAATGCACACCGACTGAAGTAGTTTAAGTCTTTGGTTCTTTTAATTATTATGATTTTGGCTCATATTTAACAATCTCAACATATTAGAATACTTCATAAGACCAAAAAAAAAAAAATTTTTTAGTGAATTGTTGGCCTTCTGGAAAATATGTTCATTTACTGTACATGTACTCAATACTCAATTAATTTGCTTTAATTACTGCCTCAATTCGGCGTGGCATGGAGGTGATCAGTTTGTGGCACTGCTGAGGTGGTATGGAAGCCCAGGTTTCTTTGACAGTGGCCTTCAGCTCATCTGCATTTTTTGGTCTCTTGTTTCTCATCTCCAGACTCTAGGACCTTGGTTTCCAAGTGCAATACAAAACTTGCTCTCATCTGAAAAGAGGACATTGGATCACTGGGCAACAGTCCAGTTCTTCTTCTCCTTAGCCCAGGTAAGACGCCTCTGACGTTGTCTGTGGTTCAGGAGTGGCTTAACAAGAGGAATACGACAACTGTAGCCAAATTCCTTGACACGTCTGTGTGTGGTGGCTCTTGATGCCTTGACCCCAGCCTCAGTCCATTCCTTGTGAAGTTCACTCAAATTCTTGAATCGATTTTGCTTGACAATCCTCATAAGGCTGCGGTTCTCTCGGTTGGTTGTGCATCTTTTTCTTCCACACTTTTTCCTTCCACTCAACTTTCTGTTAACATGCTTGGATACTGCACCCTGTTAACAGCCAGCTTCTTTGGCAATTAATGTTTTTGGCTTACCCTCCTTGTGAAGGGTGTCAATGATTGTCTTCTGGACAACTGTCAGATCAGCAGTCTTCCCCATGATTGTGTAGCCTAGTGAACCAAACTGAGAGAACATTTTGAAGGCTCAGGAAACCTTTGCAGGTGTTTTGAGTTGATTAGCTGATTGGCATGTCACCATATTCTAATTTGTTGAGACAGTGAATTGGTGGGTTTTTGTTAAATGTGAGCCAAAATCATCACAATTAAAAGAACCAAAGACTTAAACTACTTCAGTCTGTGTGCATTGAATTTATTTAATACACGAGTTTCACAATTTGAGTTGAATTACTGAAATTAACTTTTCCACAACGTTCTAATTTATTGAAATGCACCTGTAATATATGTAAAAATGTATCATTTTTATGTGAAAAGATAAGAGGCTGAGCAGTGAGTGATCATCAGGCCTTTTTCTGCACTGATTTTTTGCTAGAAAATATTTGGAATTCTGGCGATTAGATATATAAAATTCAAATTCATGGTAAAATGTGTTCAATAGTACTGCCAAAATGTTTAATTTAAGGGGTCATATGATGCAATTTCAAGTTTTCCTTTCTCTTTGGAGTGTTACAAGCTGATTGTGCATAGATAAGATCCCTGAAGTTGCAAAGACTAAAGTCTCAAAACCAAAGAGATGTTCTTTATCAAAGTTAAGACTCTGCGACGCCCCCCTAAAATGACTTGTTCTAACACGCCCCCACATATCTACCTCACTATGTGGAAATATTAGCATAATGCCACCCAAATGTTCACGTTAGTGTTGCGAGCGAGCGAGAGAGAGAGAGACGGGGTCACATCAAAGTGCAGTCAGCTGTCTTAACCGTGGCTTGTGTACTGCAAACACATACCAGCTTCATCACTGTGTCTGTCACGCGACTCTGTTCCCCTTTCGGGCTCTGTCTTTACATTTATTTTGAAAGATGAAGCTCGCGATTATGGTAAGGGGTGTTACATTTCCGACGAGTGCTTGCGGTGTTCGGCCAATCACAATGCACTGGGTCAGCTGGCCAATCAGAGCAGACTGCGCTTGTCGGAAGGAGGGACTTTGTAGAAAACAAAGCGTTTGAGAGAGGTGGGGCATAGAGGACCTACAATAATGTACAGTATTTGAAAAATAATGTGTTTTTTGAACATTAAAGCATGTCAACATATTCTGTTACACCAAATACACCAAATAATGATCTTTAAAAAAGCTTCAAATGACCCCTTTAACAAGCACTAAATGGGTGCTGATTCTGTGTGGTAATCCTACATGTTTTTTTGTTTTAGCAAATTAAAACTAAAATTAAATCTCATGTTGAATCTAGCCAGGTTGAATCTGGACACTACACACAATGAATAAAAACATTTTCTAGCTATTTTTTCTAATCATGTATGTCTGGGAAAATTATGGAAAAGTCAAAAGGTGTGAGAACCCTGAAATAAAGACAAGTCGCCTCTTTGTCATCCAGGCAGGGGAGCTGTTGAAGAGGCTTCTGACCCACGAATCTGAGACCCATCAGCCATCAGAAAGTGAACTGTCATCATCTTGTAGCTTGCCCTCTCTTCTGGATGACAGTGTGGAAATCAAGCCGGCGAGGCCTTCCAAAACAAATAAGCAAACTGTTGGAACACAAGGTTAGTAGGCTAGTTTGACATTTCAGCTTAGCTGGCACTTTATTGCATTTACAAATTCTGCTTATTGCAAAGATCTGCTTTTCCGGTTTCAAATGAATAGCTTGTTTAAATACACACAGTTGTTAAGAGCCGTGCTCGGCCAGACAGTATAGATCAGAGAGAGAATCTGAGAGGGACTCCCCAAAAGCAGGCAAGCCACATTAACAGTTCATTTTCAGTGCTAAAGCAGGGAAACATCAGCTCTGTGGCTCCGTTCTGATGAAGGCTGAAGAGGAGACCTCGAGTACTCGCAGGATGCCAGAGCTCTGACCCTCATGAGAATACACTTTTGCCCAAATCTCATTTCTGACAAAGCCAGCCAGCCTTCATTTTCCCTTTAAACCTGTCTTAATCAGTCCTGCTGTTCAGATTCAAAAAGCTCCCCAATCCCCTTCCCGAGCTCTCTCTCTTTCTTTTCTTTCTCGTTTCTCCTCTGTCTTGCTCTTCCACTGTCTCTCTGAGCTGCGCTTTCCTTCTCTTTTCTTTGTTTCAGGAATTCAAAGTGCTGAAGAGGACAGTGCCGACCAAAGCCCAGTGGAAAGTATTCCTATTAGAGGTAAAAAGGCAGATCGAAGAAGCGCCCGTTCGGGAGTTCTTCTGTGTCCGTTTTGTCTTTCTCCCCGCACAGTAGATAATGGGGGTCCCTTTTTTTCCCAACTGGATAGCTGTGAAAGGATGATCAAGGTGAATCAGAGGTCAAAGTCCCACCTGAAGAGTGGAACGGTTCTTCTAATTATCGGCAGAGAAAACAAACCCGTCTCTTTTCTTCTGCCTTAGGTATGGCTGAAACTGAGATTCTCAGAGCGCATAATGCGGAGGTTTAATTGTCCACCGGCCGGGTTGGGGGTGCCGCACAAGATCTGTCATTGGTTCTCATTTTCTGCTAAACAATGCCAGCCAGAGGCGGACTTGAAAAGACTGGATGTCAAGGCATCCTTTGAAAAGCCTCGTGTAGCAAGTCTCAGCGCCAGCTCAGAAATGTAAAACTATCCATTATTCCACTTGGCTATCTGATTTCAAACTGTGCCTTTCATGCGCAGGGCTAGCCCAAGAGCGCCACGGAGAGAGAAGTCCAGCTTCTCACTGCAACTAATCAAAGGCATTATGGTAGTAGAAAACCGCCTCTGCTATCCCTGGCTGCTTATACGCTGTTTACAGGCGGCTAATGAAGACTGCGTTGAGTTCTGTTGTCTTTCGTATTACATCACTTTGCAATCATCAGTGGAAACAGCGTCCGAATGTTGGCCTTCCGCTGTCTCCATGTTGGTAAAGTGCCGCCATGCACAATAGTGTTTTATGTATATGGCGAACAAAAAAGAAATCTTTAGATGCTTTTTCTACGAGGTTCTGATGCCTATATTTTGCAGTCATTACACCGGAAGAAACGAGCAACAAACAACATGCCATACTACAGATATCAGCATAACGAGATGCTGGAAAGTATTTTGTCTTTGGGGGCATAAACCACTTTGCAATTTGTTTTTCTGTTTGCTTTCGGCATTTAAAACTGACATACTTTTGTTTTCCAGGGCTCGTTTTCAAAAATGATTTTAAGCTTGAATGCTCGCTGGTTAAAGATCTCAATTTCCATAGAACATTTATAGAAGTTTATAGAACATGAAAGACAGTGTTTTAATGGAATCCTATAAGATGGTGCGACAACACAAAAGCCAGCGGGTTCTTTTTTGCCGAGACGGCAGCCTGTCTGTGTGCGTCTGGATTAGATCAATAGTTTAGTGCTCACTGACTCTTTTTCACCTCCTCTCTTTGCTCATCAGTGGCCTTAAAGAGCTGATGTTGGTTCATCAAGCATCAGGGCTCTGGAAAGTTGGAAGTCGAGGTCTTAAGCAAATATTTGACTAGCTGCTTTCGCATTTTGTAATTTTTTTTTCTATTTTTTTTTCTATAGAGACCAAAGCATATCAGCTGCTTAAACAGTCTGTGGCACAAGAGAGGCACTGGAGTGACTTGGAGGAGCAGAATTCTGAGCCGTCAGGTAACGGAAAATAATAATCACTTTTTAATTTTAATAATATATGTACATAAATAGCCCTTTCTCTTTTAAACTACATGTGCAGCAGCGCCCATTTAACCCAGTTACATTTAAAAAATGTGGAGAGTTGACTGTTATTCATAGTCAATATTTGTATTTTATCAGACAAATATATGATATTTCTATGTACATTATAATTATAGTGATCATAAAAATTAACAACCCTGTGTATGCATGCATATAATGCATTTTTTAATATTGTAGTATAAATGTGTAATAATAACACCCTTTTTCCTTCTGTTTTTATTTAAATTATTAATTTGTTATCCAAAGATATCAACAAATTGGAGAGGTCTGAGGTGCTCCGGGACTCTTTAACGCAAAACAGTCGGTAAGTACTCATAAATATATATATATATATATATACAGTAAATAAGTATTTCCATTTGTCCTCTTTTAATAAAAAAGCAATGTGTTTGTCCTTGAAACACTCTTAGCATCATTAACACGACTTCATGTGGGAGGCATCAGTCAAGCTGTATTTTCATTCAGAGGTTCCTCTCTCATCATCGGCATTATTTGATTGCTTCAGTAAATCAGGGCTTTGAATGAAGAAAAAGGATCTTGAGGGTACAATGTTTAGGTTTTCACATCAACACAAGTTCACACAATCAGCTAAGACACGCAGCGCCTCTCCTCCACGAATCCATTAGGGCAGGTAATGGATGGGTGAACCTCGAGAAGAGTAATCGTCTCTGATTTCACATGCTTTTCCGAGCATCACGCTGACACAAGAGTCGAAAGTTTCCCCCCTCTTTCTCCTTTTCTCTCTTCTGCCCACTCTTTGCCCGCCTCCCCTGGCTCTCTCTCAGCTAGTTTACTCTATTTGCAGAGGAAAGGGTATAATGATTGCACTCTGACAGAGCTCTCTGATGGATGCTACAGTCTGCCCAATGAATGGCCTCATTAATAAACATAAGCTGTCTCTAGTGCGAGATGATTTTGGATCATCCCAGAACCTCACAGAGCTCCTGAGAGAACCCTGCCGGAGACTCGCCATCGCTTGTGGAGGGTTAGAGGTTGTTTAAAGCTCACAACAAAGATGATGGTTAGCATTGGAGCATTTGCTTAGCTTTCAAGTAAAACATTTTGTGGCCTTTTTTGGGTTTTGTTTTTTTGCTGCGTTGAAGAATTCCTCTTGCCAGTCACTTCTTGCGCTTTATTGCCTCTACAAGTACCCTGCACTCGAGCACCAGTAGAACACTACATGTGCTGTTCCCCCGTCCTCTCTGCTTTCTCGCTCTCTCGTCTCCGTCACTTACTGCTGTCATTCTGTCACTGAGCCGATGGGCACATTAAAAGACCTTCTGGTTCAGACCAAAACTCCCGACAAAATAGTAATAAAGCAAAATAAAATAAATCAAGTGCCTCTCTTTCTTAGCCATAATTATGATTTTGCTGTTAAGCCGAGACCGTAGCTGAAGAATCAGTGTTTAAAGCAAGCGCTTTGGTGCAAAAAAATGCATTTATGGGTCTTTGTGCGCCTCCTCATTATGCGTGGGGCTGATTCATTAAGTAATTGGTTTGCAGTTGTTTACATGAGTATTAAGGCCCCCTATTCAGCAGTCTTTTGAGAGATACATTGTGCAAATGTTGCATGTTATGAATGCCCAATGAGAGGCGGGGGGCCAGGCCTATTGGCCAAACACTGCACTGGGCTGAAAAGACCAGAGAAAAGCGTCAGGCGCTGCTTTGCATAGCAATGACGCGCCCATAATAAGCTTTCCAGATTAAATACATGCAGTCCATACAAGATGCAAAGAGATACTCTTAACACATTTATGTGTGTTCATTTCACTATTATAGCACTGAAGATAATTGGGGTCTTTCATATCCACCCCCATTTTTTTTTTTTCTTAATTCCCTTCCCTGTGCTCTCCTCTCGTCAGCGTGCCGTTTTTACTGCAAAATACTTTTATCAAACACAGCGTTTTATTGTGTTATAATTCAGAGGCTGTGTGGACAGACCAGGCAGTATTTGTTCCGCCTGTGTGCCGCAGTGATTCAGGAAGGAGAGCGCTGGAATAAGCAGCTGCACTCCATTTAAAGGCCTCTTGTTCCTGCACTTTGTTTAAGGCTGCATGCCACAGCTTCCTCCTCTTCAGCCGCTATGGTGTCTTCTGCTACTGCAGGCATGTAGCGCAGATCTCACTCGCTTGCTGTTTCTTAATGTCCCACTCTGTTGCTTTATGAAAAATAACAGGGTAGGATTAGTGGGTTTAACATCTTCAACATTTGATCAATTTCTCACATTGTCATTGAGGAAAACAATTGTGTTTGTGTAACAGCAGCAGGATTGTTAATACGTAAAAATAAATACATTTGTTCTTTCACACACCCTTGTAAGAATTTTCACAGTTTAAGTCTTTGTTTTCATATTTTTCTATTCATTTTTATTTTTAGTACAAGTTAACCTATGCAAATGAGAAATGTTGTCGTGCAATTGTGCTTGTGTAACAGCAGCAGGATTGTTAATACGTAAAAATAAATACATTTGTTCTTTCACACACCCTTGTAAGAATTTTCACAGTTTAAGTCTTTGTTTTCATATTTTCTATTCATTTTTATTTTTAGTACAAGTTAACCTATGCAAATGAGAAATGTTGTCGTGAGAAATGTTAATCTGCCACACAGCTGAAATGAAAAGTTGATTAACGTTTATTTTATTTATTATTTTAAGTAGCAACAAATGTTTTAGTTAGTAGTTTTAGTCAACTATAATAACACTGGTGAGTGTCTTCAGCTGTCCACCAGTGGTGGTGTAATAGCACTAAACAGCAGTAGCCAGTGGGGGTCACTCTCTTTCTTTGTGCCTATCCACCTGCTTTTGTATACTAAAAAAGAATATCCTCTGTATGCATACCAACATTTATTTCACTGAGCCAAAAATGCCGTGAGGTGAGGTCTTCATCTTGGGATGCTAAAATAATACCAGATAAAAAAATGGCAATAAATGCAGTGACCTAGTTCCCTTGAGGTGCTGTCTGTGTATACATGCAACACAAATGAAAAGAAAAGCCCCCATGCCTGCTCTCCTGCTCTTCTGGTTATTAGCCAGCAGAGGGAACTCATATTTAGCCCAGCCGTTGGTACCGTGACAGTGGCAGCCGGTGACCAGTAGAGGGCGCTCTGTCTGCTGCTCTGAATCATTACCTCGCTCCAGAGCTCTTGGCTCTTACAGGGGTCTAATCAATGGTAAATCAGTGCTGCTGTGGGCAATGTTCCCTCTAATTTGTTTTCTTGCTGAGCAAAACTTTTCTCTATTGGACGGACATTTCGGCCACCTGAGCAAAAACATTCTTTATACCAGACCTGTACAGCGCGCACACAAAAAAAGTGTGTGACTTTTAACTTTAATGTGCTATTTGTATTTAATTTGACCCGTGACTAAATAATGTACATTTTAGGTTACCTTTTTTACAGTATAATACACTGCCATTCAAAAGTTTGGGATCAATAATGTTTATTAAAGAAGTTTCTTATGCTCATCAAGGCTGTATCTATTTGATAAAAAATACTGAGTATTATTTCACAAAATAATATTGTGAAATATTATTGCAATTTAAAATAAAAGTTTTCTATTTTAATATACTTTTTAAATATAATTTATTCCTATGAAGCAAAGTTGAATTTTCATCATCATTACTCCAGTCTTCAGTGTCACATGATCCTTCACAAATCATTATAATATGCTGATTTATAATCAATGTTGGAAACAGTTGTGCTGCTTAATATTATTTTGGGGGCCTGTGATATTTTTTCAGGATTCTTTGATAAATAAAAATTTAAAAAGAGCAGTGTTTATTCAAAATAGAAATTATGTGTTACAATATACACTACTATTCCAAAGTGTGTGATCAGTAATTTATTTATTTATATTTTTTTAAGAAATTAATACAGCAAGAATGTGTTAAATGGATAAAAAATGTTAGTAAAGACTTATATTTTTAGAAAAGATTTCTATTTTGAAAAAAATGGTTCTTTTTAACTTTTCATTAATCAAAGAAAAAAAGTATCAAAGGTTCCAAAAAAAAAAAAATAATATATATATATATATTAAGCAGCACAACAGTTTCAACACTGATAATAAATCAGCATATTAGAATGATTTCTGAAGGATTATGTGACGCTGAAGACTGGATTAATGATATATTTTTTTAAGAAATTAATACAGCAAGAATGTGTTAAATGGATAAAAAATGTTAGTAAAGACTTATATTTTTAGAAAAGATTTCTATTTTGAAAAAAATTGTTCTTTTTAACTTTTCATTAATCAAAGAAAAAAAGTATCAAAGGTTCCAAAAAAAAAAATTATATATATATATTAAGCAGCACAACAGTTTCAACACTGATAATAAATCAGCATATTAGAATGATTTCTGAAGGATTATGTGACGCTGAAGACTGGATTAATGATGCTGAAAATTCAGCTTTGCTTCACGTGAATAAATTATATATTAAAATAGGAAACCAATATTTGAAATTGCAATAATGTTTCACAATATTACTGTTTTTTTTCTGTATTTTCGATCAAATAAATACATCTTTGATGAGCATAAGAGACTCCATTAAAAAACAAGGTCAAGTGTTTATTAGGTTTATAATATAGGCCTAACATAATATAATATCAAAACAAACTGAATCATTTAAACCGATAGAATGGAATACAAACTGAAGCATTTAAACTGAGATCTGTAAGTTAAATATTTTTAAAAAACGTGAACGTGAATTCTTCTATAGCTATCTAAACATCCCTATGAAGTACAGTTTGCACAATACACCTGTGTGTGACTGTAAATGTCTCTGAGTTTTGTTACCGTTCTGTGCCCATCATCCGCTATTTCCAGCACTTAATCAAGCCACTCTT